CATAGGTGCTGTATAATCTGATAATTTGCTGCTCAGTTCTTGTGTCAAGAACTGCCAAGGGCTTTCAGCCAAGCAAACAAAGTCAGGATTCCAAAGAAAATTTTATTTAATAACTTACCCAGTATTCTCCAGTCTGGATCTGCTTATTCCCCATGGGCCCACAAACAGGATTGGAACAACTGAAAAGAAAAGAAGAATCTATTCCAGCCAAGCTTGTAGAAATATTTTTTTTTTTTCCTTTACAAAATATCCTCCCCTGACTCAGCAAAATCAGTGTTGGAAATACTTTAAGTGCACTTACCCCATCCTATGACAATGTATGACTGGAGCAGTCTTCTTTCAGAGAGCACCACAGTTATCAATAATGTATGCAGGTAAATTCCTTCCACTAACAGCCAGAAGTAATTTGCCCCCACAAAGTAATGCATGAAAAACTGGGCAGTCCTGCAAATGATTACAATCTGTAGGAATGAGAGACCAGGAGTAAATACAGATGTCGTGATCTGCATGTGAGGGTTTTTACTGATGAGGTGTTGAAATAATAATTATCTTTCATTATCTTGCAGATAATTTTCCTTGTTGATGTGGACAAGCTCTATTCCTACAACAATATACATATATACATTATATAGTTTTTATATATTAAATATATATATAAATATATACATTTATAAATATATTTAATATATAAAAACTATATAATATATAATCACTTTATATTTTATATACAGTTATTAGAAATATACAATATATACATTATAATATATAATATATTTATATAATTATACTTCTATATAATAATATATAATAATATATACATATTATATATTAGATTTATTTATTTATTTATGGATATATATAATCTGTGCCAAATAAACAAGGATTTCTTTCTAAAGGCTACAAGGTGCAAGATGCTTTGCTTAAGTGACTGTTTCTAAATATTACAATCGATTAATTTGTTCTTCCAGTTCATTTAAAAGAAATCTCTTACAATCAGGATTTCATCTTGATTACCCCAACTTTTATCAACAAAATTCCAGCACCCAAAGCTCAGCTTACAAACACTTGATGCTGTAGGGCAAACTTCCAAAACCTGTAACTGTTATGAGCACTAGAAGCACACATTTATTATTAGCTATGAATTAACACATTACCTCTGGACTGAGGTATAATATCCATCCACTTTCATCATTTGGCCTTTTGGAATAAATGTTGTAGTACACAGAGTCTTTTATCAGAACTGCTGCAGCACGCAAGATAAAGGATGCGAATAAATTCATATGGATGTAGTTTCTTGTGCAGTGAAGTTTTCTGTGGGGGAAAAAAATAATGTATGAACCCTCCAGAATATATCTAGTTTGCAGAAATAAATTTTTTTAAAGCCAACAAAAACCCAGCAAAACAACTGTTTTATTCATATTATTGCCATCAATGCATTCTGCTTAGAAACTGCATTTGTATTGCTCCTTGGAGAAATACAAGTTATTTACTTGGGAGCAACAGAATGGTTTGGGTTGGAAAGGATTTGAAGACCCATCCCATTCCATCCTCCCTGCCATGGGCAAGGACACCTTCCACTAGATCAGGTTGTTCCAAGGCCTTAAAATCTTCCAGGAATGGGGCAGTTTCTCTGGATGACCTGTGCCAGGGCCTCACAGCAAAGAATTTCTACTTAACAAAGAATTTCTACTTAACACCTAAACTAAATCCATCATTTCAGCTCAAAGCCATTCCCCCTTGTCCTATCACTCCATGCCCTTTTCCAAAGCTCATCCCCAGCTTTTTTGTAGCCCCTTCAGTTACTGGAAGACTAAATGATTACTTCAATTTCATAAAAAAGAGAGTATGAGTACACAGCTGTGTATGTTTAAAATGCATGTAAATTTTTACTAACCTGAGTAAAGAAAGTATAAGCAGAGCTAGTACCAGTGAGATGAGAGAAAAGTAATATCCTATCGTGTACAACAGCTGTAACGTGGTGAGTAGTTTATGTTCTTCTTCCTGGGAATAAAAAAGAAGAAAAATGTGTTGTGTAGGCAGGGGGACGGGGCAGAAACACAGCCCAGAAACTTTGGGGATCACTTTGAAGGAGCCAGGGCAGGATTCTGATCCCTGCTCTCTGCACTGCCTTTTGAAATCAGTGTGTGACACAGATGCTTGCACGCCGAGCTCCTTTTTCAATCCAAAGGCACTCCCAGACTAATCCCAGCTTTCTCCTGCCCAATCACCACTTGTAGCCCAAATCACAAATGAGGTAGCCACGATTCTTGTGCGCCAGGAGGATGCTGGTGGGTTGGCAGCTGCAGAGATCAACACAACCTGCGCACCAAGTGCGTGAGTGGCCTGGACACACAGCCACCAACCAGCTCTGCACAATTCTGGGAGCCAGCTCTGGCTATTGAAACAGGCTGACTTCTGTCTTGAGTTCAAAGGAAAAAATATAATTAATAAATTAGAGCTGTCTTGAATGTCTTTGAATGACAAACAAGACCTCAGAGGAGGAAGAGAACCACTCACACTTTCATAGATTATCATAGGACATCCTGAATTGTAAGTACCAACCAGGATTGTTGAAATCCAGCTCCTGCCCCTGCACAAATTTCCTTTCAATTTCCCTAATTTAACATTTCTTTTTCCTAAGTTTTTTCCATTTTAGCTGCTTATGTCTGCCTCCCAACTCTCCAAACTTCCAGCCCAGGGAAAGCATCTCTGAAGATGAGATACAGGATATGTGTATATTTTTTATATATTTCTTGGAATTTGTGTATTTTCCTCAGTGATTTTGCTGTTTTTCTTGTTCTACTACTCAGCACCAGGGATTTGGCAGTGTTTTCCTGCCAGCAGTTTTCTCTAATAATTTCATGCTAGTGATCCATGCCTCTCTTGAAGGGGCTGAAGCAGTGTGGGGGCAGGAGATTCCCAGCTGTTGGTCACTCTGCTCCATGGAAACATTCCAGCAGGTAAAAACCTTGCAAAAATCCCAAATTATCATCTTGGCTATTTCAATTTTGCAACACCAAAGCACATGAAACCAAGCTGATTCCTCTGGTGGGTGAAGATACTGGCTCTGGGTTATTTCCAACAGCTTGGGGGATTTCAGTTAAATAAAACAAACAAATTGTCCCTTTTATTCAATTAAATAAAACAAAACAAATTGAATAAAATTTATTCAATTAAATAAAACAAAACAAGCCCACATTTAGTCTTGGTAGGAAAGCTGGTTAAAGCTTTCAAAGAAATTTTCTGCTGTCACACAAGATGAAATAATATGCCTTGCAGAAACAAATATGCTATGCAGAATGGACAACAATCCTTGGAAAACACTCAGCATTTATGAATATTTATTACATTTGCATAAATAAACTGAAGGTTTGGAAACTCATGTATTTACCATATAAAGAGCTTAGTAATAGTGTAGTAATACTCAGAGATACTAAACTAATAATGTTTCATAACCAATCAGTAAAGCAGTGTTACTTGATAAAGTAAGAAACAACACTCTGTCAGTAATAAAAATAAAAAATAGTAGGGATAGTGCTTACCTAAGAGACCTAATTCTGAATTCCATGGCAAAAGAAGTTTGGCTGATAGAATCCAGCCCCTGGCCTGATGCAATATGAGAAATACAGGAAGGATGGCATTAGACAAGGGTGAATCCTCCAGTCTCTGACCAGCTAACTTTGAAATAACCAATGAACAGCTCATTAAATGCTGAAAGGCTCAGAAGGGAAGGAGGAATTGTCTGACTTTCACCCACCAGTGTGATTTGGGGAGATGCTGGGATGCTTACTTGCTTGACAAGTTGCAGTGTTTTTCTATTTTATTAGGAGAAAATCAGCACCTGGACTCTGAACAGAAAATAACTTGTGGCATGTAAAGCAGGAATCCCCTTTAATATTTTTTTTCTGCTTCTTATAAATAAAATAACAGCTTTCTATTTGGTAATTTAAATGACATCTGAAGATTCTTTGCAGGTATTAAATGGAAATGTTTTGTCAGTTACTCATGAAAGGATTAGGATGATTAAAGTTTTCAACCATAATATAAAACATACTTACATTTTTTTGGAAATGATTTTTCTCAGAACATTCTGAACTATCCCGCCAAATGTCTGTGGAATTTTCCTTTGTTTGCCAAATCCCTTCATCCAAGCAGACTCTGTATACATGTCCTACACTTCCTGAAAGTAAACAGAGTTTTAGTTTGAAAGGTCAAAATAGAGATTTCATTTTTCATACACATTTGAAAGATTTCTACCTCCACAACAGCCTCCACACCATCCATACTCAAAAACGAGAATAAAACCCACTTTTCTTTTGTCTTTATCAATATATTTTTTATCATTACAAAGGACAAAGTAGGAATGTAATCCAGCAGAAATGAATTCCCAGAATGTACCTGTTTTTTACAAGAAAACCCACACAGTACATCCAAAAGAGAACCCTTCATCTCCCTTTATTCATTTTTCCTCATTAAGCTCGTGAATGGGTGATCACATCAAAAAATAGCTAAGTATTACATTCTAGTAGAATGTAAGTAATAATTAATATAGTTAATAAATAATTATAATAAAATAAATAATTATAATAATTAATAAGCAATATACGCAATAATAAGTAATAAGTAATAATGCATATAATAATAATAAGTACATACAATAATAATGAGTAATAATACATATAAGTAATATGTATTAATGTAATAAGTATTACATTCCAGTGAGGGCACTAATAATTGAGCAGCATTAAACCCACCCCACTAATTTGCACATTAACCAAAAAATCTCAAACTGACAACCCAAAACCACTATACAGGTTTACATGGCTTTGCAAGTGCTGCTCTCCAGCTGTCAATACAGAGCTGTGGCAAGCACAGATGGAGAGAAAGAGCAAATAAACATCAAAAATGATTTTGTGCCTCAGTTCAGAAGTGGTAGAAAGAAGTGAGACTCCACTTCAGAGGACACTGGGGCAAGACAGACAAGCACCACGTGTCCTTTGGCTGAATTCCTGGCACAGACTCCAAGAGAAGTTACCACTTTGACATTCCCCCTTTGACATTCCCCCTTTGACATTCCCACTTTGACATTCCCAATTTGACCTTCCCCCATTGACATTCCCAATTTGACCTTCCCAATTTGACATTCCTACTTTGACATTCCCACTTTGACATTCCCACTTTGACATTACCATTTTCCAGCCATGGCAAATACGAAGGACAAGGAACGGAGACATTTCCTGGGGGTGAGTAAGGCCAGCAAACAAATTGATCAAATGTCCCATTGCAATGGACTCCTGGGGAGAGAAGCAAATAAAAGTTTCACCAAAAGTTGTGCAGACAACGGGCAGCCAGGGAAAGCACTCTGCACTGTTCCAGGGAATCTGTGAGCCACTCCAGAGTAACCAGATGTTGCAGATAAATGTGTATGAGATAAGTTTATTGCTTAAAATCACAAGGAAGCTGAGGTCAGACCTCTCCAGGGTCTGCAGATTCCTTTTGAGGAACAGCACAGGGACAGCTCCGACCTCTGCTCTGTGACAGTGACAGAACCCAAGGAATGGCTGGAGCTGTGCCAGGGGTTTGGGGTGGATTTTGGGAAAGGTTCTTCCCCCTGAGGGTGCTGGCACTGCCCAGGCTCCCCAGGATGTCCAGGTGGGATTGTTGGAGGGTCTGTGCAGGGAGAGGGACTGAACTGGGAGATCCTTGTGGGTCCTTCCAGCTCAGGTTTTCTGTGATTATATGATTGTATAACCACAGAGAAAGGGAAATAAACAAGGGACTTCAGGCTGATATTTGTGCCAGGTGAATTGTTCTACATTTAGAATGTAGGAACAAACATACGAGATAATTTTTGCATATTTGTCAGTCTTAATAAATTTCTTCATTGCTTAATTCCTTACCACTATCTACAGATGATTCCTGCAGCATTTTCAAGCACTCCTGTTTGTATTTGTTCCATCCAGTAGTGGTTTTTTCCAGTAGAGAACCTTTGGCCTGGGAGTGAAAATACTGTACACGAGAAAAATCAGTTAGAACCTTTTAGTCCTTAATGACAAGTTTCTTTCCATTACAAGAAATTCTGGTCTGAGCATGGAAATGAGGAGAGGAAAGGAGAATGGAGGAATTTTAGGTAAAAAATCTAAAGGGCTTTTTGGTTTTAGAATATATTTAAAGATAATCAAGCATACCTGGTTGAGTAGTACAACAAAAAAACAGTTGAATAAAACAATAATGAATAGGCAATGCTATTTAGCTACTAACACCTTTCCCCTGGTGCATTCTGTTCTCCTGCCCAGCATTTCACAGACCACTTATTTCACCAGCAGCTGCAACTGTGCCATAGACATCTTTCTATTCCTCTTTTTCCTTTTTGGTTTTTTTTTCTTTTTTAAGAAACACTTCTGTATATTTTAGTTTTATTCACCATTTACACCGTGTTGCCCTTTTTTGCCTCAATAGGGCACTGCTTTTCTTTCCTATTGTCTCCATAGGTGGGAAGAGTCTTTGCCCTTTAGATTTCCCACACAATAAAATGACACCCACATTTTTATCTGGCTGCAGGGGTCTTTAAGGGGGTCACAGCTGATAATTGCTGTTTAGGAAAGCAATGGCTGAAACCAGAAGAATTAAATGCAAAAGCACTTGATGATTTGGCGAAGAAAGGCAGGTCAGGAGGGATAATGGGAGATGCTGCTTACAGCTCAGTGTAGAATCTATGGATAAATACTGACTTGATCATTATTTATCCATAGAAGAGAACACCATCCTGGGCCCCTCTGTGCAATCAACCCCCTGGTCTCCTGACACCAGGGCTTTCAGAGGCCAGAGCAGTCCAAGATTGCTGCTGCTACGTCACCAAAAATTAAACATTCATTACTGGTTGAAAATGTTACCAATTCTAAGGAGCAAATTTTGGAGAACTAAGAAAATATTTAAGTTTTCTAAAAAAACTTTTACTAAAAGGTGCCTTTCAGTTCTCCAGGAAAAGTCAGTTTCTTCTTGTCTGAACTACACCCTTTCTTTAGAACTGCCTTGAACACATTTGTGGTTGCCCTGATGTTGCCTGAACATGGTGATGTGCCAAGAGCTTGAGGTATGTAACCAGAAAAATATATGGCTGTGAACTTCACCTTTGTTCCTTTAAACCTATGGTTTGCTTTTATTTTAACGAATAAATAATATTTATTTACTTTCAAAACAAGAACAATGTTTTGGTGAATTAGTTGTTGGGCAGGATCACTATTTCATGCACGTTTTCACTGTGTATTTCACTACTTTCAAAGAGTATTGCCTGCTCAATACTCTGCTTTTAGTCTCTCATCTAATTTCAGACACCCACTTTAAGCATGAGGGAGTAGAAAAACTCTAATCATTCTTCCATGGATGTGCCTGCAAGATAAGGAGAGAATATTTACAGCAGCCATGAGAAAGGAATGCATGTTTCCAAAATAAAAAAGCATCTTGACATTTCCCTGCTGCAGGCCCCAAACTTCTGGGAGCCAGGGGAGATTCCTCAGGGCCTCGTGGGTCAGTGAACCCCATCTGAAGAGGCAGAGATTGGAGATGACGCATTTGTGACAGAGCTGCTGGGCTGGAGGAAGAACACTCCAGGGTCTGATAAACAAACACGTTAAAGAGCCAAGGAAACCCAAGGAAACCCAAGGAAACCCAAGGAAACCCAAGGAAACCCAAGGAAACCTTGCATGGCCAACTGGCAGCTCCGTTCCTGGAGAGGAGGAACGTTCCTGGAATTGAGGAATTCAGTGATTCCCCACAGTCATGGGGGAGTTCACTCAACAAGAGTGAGCAGCAGGTTAGGCCTAAATGACAATTCCACATCCCTTCCTGATGGAATTGTCCATTTCCTCAAATCTGCAGGCACGGACACACAGCCAGCACCTATTGGTCACTATTGATATAAATACCTGTGAGATCAGTTTGTTTTGGTCACACAGACAATACGTGTTCACCATTGATGTAAAGATTTGTGAGATAAATTTGTTTTGGTGGTCACATAGCCAATACCTGATCACTATTGATGGAAATATTTGGGAGATAAATTTGTTTTGGTCACACAGACAATACCTGATTATTATTGATATAAATACTTGTGAGATAAGTTTCTTTTGGTGGTCATATAACCAATACTTGGTCACTATTGGTGTAAATATTTGTGAGATAAATTTCTCTTGGTGGTCATATAGCCAACGGTCACCATTGATATAAATACCTGTGAGATAAATTTGTTTTGGTCACAAAGACAATACCTGATCACTATTGATGTAAATATTTATGAGATAAATTTGTTTTGGTCTCATAGCCAATGCCTGGTCGTTATTGATGTAAATGCTTGTGAGATAAATTTGTTTTTCTCATATAGCCAATTTCTAATCGCTATTGATGTAAATACTTGTGAGATAAGTTTCTTTTGGTGGTCACATAGCCAATACTTGGTCACTATTTATGTAAATATTTGTGAGATAAATTTGTTTTGGTCTCATAGCCAATGCCTGGCCATTATTGATATAAATACTTGTGAGATAAGTTTCTTTTGGTGGTCACATAGCCAATGCTTGGTCACTATTGGTGTAAAGATTTGTGAGATAAATTTGTTTTGGCCACAAAGCCAAGACAGAAGCTCAGAAAGTCCCATGGTCTTTTGCCCTACACTGGACATCATTTCAGGTTGTCAGAAGATTTTTTTTTTGTAAAAAAGGAAACAGCCTCAGCCTGCCAGCCTGGCCCCTGCTTGCACTGAAGTTCACCCATGAGGAAATTTAATCCAAATTCCCTGGAAGTGTCTGGCCATTTACTGAGATAGCACCAAGGAGACGCCACTCTTTAGACATTTGTTGGATGAAGAAGAAAAAGCTGCCTGAAGCTTCCATTTAGGAAATGGATTATATTTGGATGCAGACCAATTTGAATTTAAGTTTTTCATAACTGACCACAGTAAAGTCAGAATTGAACCCGTTATATTTTTTATACTAAGCTGGCAGTGAAATGAAATGTTTCTGTTTATTCAACTATGCCCTTATGGACAGAAAAAAGCCCCTTCAGTTTGGGCATAAACTAAAAATAAAAGCTGAAAAATATTTATTCATTCTTCCAGCCCTGATCCAGGTTTAGCATGGTGGAGATTTTTCCTGTCTATAGAGGTTTTTGCTAGAAAATACAGATATAGTGATTTATGGCTGTTATTCCTTTAAATGTTTCTTTCTTATGAAACAAAATATAAAGAAATGCAGCACATATTTCTTTAAACAAGTTGCAAGAGCCACTATGACAAATTAATTCACTGTGATTAGTCCAGCAAAGTTTTGACTTTGCAGAAGTATTTGGGAGATTTTCTGTTAGCACTGATGGAACTAATGCTTTGGGTGAGGTGTCTCACAAATCTGAGAGTTCTTTCAGTTCTATAAACACAAGCTCTATGCAGAGAAGTTCTAGATTTGAATTATATGAAAATATTAGGAATATTTTCTTTAAATATATATATGTATTTGTCTCCTGGTAATTTTTTCTTTATAAAAATGTTAGAAACACATATATGGGCTCTACAGCACATAAAGCTGCACACCCACTTTCTTAGAAACCCAAGAAAATAGAGAATAAGTGGATATAAGCACCTTTTTACCTTCAGTTTGTTGCCCTGATGCTCATACATGTCCAAGAAATGTACCCTAAATATATGTGTGAATTTTAATCATTTAAATTGAAATTTACCAAATATCAGTAATTTAAAAAAAAATTTATTCCAGTCAAGATTGATATTAATAAATAAATAAGGATTAGTAAAAACCTACATGAAAATTTCCTCGAATTGAATTACACTGAGATATTTTCTCATTAAATACCTAAACCCTTTCCAATTTGTAAGGTAAGTAAGAGCCAAGTGTTTAGAATTCTGTAAAGATTTAGGCAAAAAGTAAAAATAAAATGGTTTAGTGGATCCGTAAAAGAAATAAAAGCAGAAATCTCATCTAGATTTATTTGCTTTCTGCATGAAGGTGAGGTGCAGAACAAAACCAGCCAGATTTCACAAATTGGAGATTCAATCTTCACAAGTCAGTGCCAGAAACAAATCACAGCTGGGTTTAGAACACAGAAAAAACAGTAGAAAATAAATGTGATTCATGATAGTATTTTTATCTGGTAGGAAAACAAATTTAATTCAATACCAATCAATACTGGTATGAAAAGGGATTGTGCAAATGGTTGTAAACATAATTTATTCGCTGCATGAATGAGGATTAATAGAATAAAATGGTAATAAATTCCCTAGTCAGAGAGAGTTCTAATATAAAACTCTACAGCTTTGCAGCCTTTATTTCTCATGACTAATTAGCAATAAAAATAAATTTTTATGTTGGATGGATCTTTGGAACAAACACGCTTTTTTGTTTGTTAAAATGCTACGTGCTAGGAATTCACTTTTCTAGAGTCCATTATTAGTTATTGAATTAGCTTACCTGTTTCACAAGAAACAATATCATGATAGAGCTGGCAGATGTTGGAGCTATCCTGGACCAGAGTCCCATGCTGGAATGGAGAGCAAAAAGTGTCACCATGCCCATTCGAATAAATTTGTCCCCAATATGCTGCTATTTCACTCTAAAGATCAATTATATTAATAATAAAAAAATAATAGAAGTAAAAATGTCTTCTTTTATGAATGCCACTGTTCCATGAATGCTCTTTCCAAATTAGTGAGGAAGTCTCCTGGAGTGTTCAGCTTTGCTAGACTCCAACTATGTTTTGGTTTTTCTGAGTAAAGGCAGAGAGCTCAGTCTAAACTTCACAGCAACTCTGCTTACTGAGCTGCTCCACTAGCCAATGAGAAGTCAGAAAACTGTTAAAACATGCAAGGGCTGATCCTGTTCCTTGAAGCTCCACAGGAATTTTGCCAGTGATTTTTCCAGAATGCAATCCAGCTTCATAAAAACACACATATATATTTTTACATGTATAGATATATGCATATATTTTTATTTTTATATACACACACATATATGTATATATTTATAGACATATATATTTATACACATAATGCAAACCAGCTTCACAAAAACACATATTATTTATACATATATAGATGTATGTATGTATTTTTATTTGTATATATACATGCATATATATTTATAGATATATTTATATACATAATGCAATCCAGCTTCATAAAAACTCACATATATACTTATACATAGATATCTGTATATATTTTTATTTATATATATACACACACATATATGTATATATTTATAGATATATATATTTATACACATAATGCAATCCAGGTTCACAAAAACACACATATATACTTATACATAGATATATGCATATATTTTTATTGATATATATACATATGTATATATTTACACACATATATATTTATACGCATAATGCAAAACAGCTTCACAAAACATATATATATTTATACAGCTATAGATATATGTATATATTTATATATATATATATATACATATTTATTTTATATATAGGTATATATTTTTAATATATGTATGCATATTTATATGCACCTCATGAAACCAATAAACAACACCTCAGAACACAGAAAAACTTTGTGTAGGAAGCCTGGGGGACAGACTGGACAGTGCCCAGGAAACCATCAAGAGCAAATCAGGTAATTTATGACTTTTATTTGTGGCTGGTGGAGCTCTGAAGGTAGGCAGCCACCCTTCTAGTGCTGCATGCTGTGAAATCTGGAGCTGACCAACCAGTTTTAGCTCCTTACCAGTTTTTTTAATAGCAAAAGTCACAACTGTGCTCAACTTAAAGTGTTCAGTGTCACAGGAGCATTTGGAACTGTGAGATTTTGTTTATTCCTTAGCTAAGGAATAGAGAGATTCCATCAGTGTGACTCCAATCAAGGTAAATAGACATGTTTTGTTTGTATAAATGAAACTTTAGTGATTGCACATTGTACTTCCAATGTTTCTGTGTTCTGTGTGTGATTCATGGGGCAAATTACCATTTATTGTCACAATTCCTTATATTTCTTTCACAATACACTGCTGCCAAGCAACACTGTCCTTTATTCTTAATCTCCCCTGCCACATGATTTCTGGTCATGCCCAGATCTCTGCTCTCTGCCTTAAACTCCTAAGCCAGCACAATTTTGTGGGAGGGATGAAGGACGGGGTGGTGAAGGCAGGCAGGTGTTCCATCGGGCACAAATTTGCAAAAGGGAATTTCTGGAATAACTGCTGCCCTGGAAGATGCCAACCTCCATCCCGGAGGCAGACAGGAGGCACAGAGCCTCAGCAGCATTTTCCCTGAGTTTCCTCTCTTTAGTCTTCTCCATCACAGCTTTCAGCAGCAGCCACTGGTGCGAAGGCACCAGGAAAGTGGCCAAACCTTTCTGCAAAGGGGACAGCAGAGGGGACAGCAGAGGGGACAGCAGAGGGGACAGCAGAGGGGACCTGTGCATCCGCTTCAACAGCGCCGACGGCAACGGCAGCCAGGCTGTGCAGTACATCTGGGAGACTGGCGATGACAAGTTTGTGGAGAAGAAGTTCCACGCTGGCATCTGGTACTCCTGTGAGGAAATCATCAATGAAGAAGGTGAGCAACGCCGTGGAAATTTATTTCATTAAGTCATCGTGGCTCTTCCTACTTATTTAGTGCGTCCTTCCCTTCTGCTTCATTAATTCCGATGTTTTATGGTGTTTACGTCGTTAAAAAGTTGCTCTCCTCTGGCAAAGGGGACCTTAGAGGATACTGCCCAGTCAATTCCTAAAAAAATTCCTAATAAATTCTAATAAATTCCTGATTTATTACAATTTTTCCTAAAATTCCCAAAATTTATTCCTAATAAATTCCTAATAAATTCTAAGGACATTAGGGTGACAGGTTGTGGCTTTGATTTAGCTGGCAGGTTCTGTTTCACATAAAGATTATTTGGTTTTTATTCCACACACCGTAACAGCAAGTCAAATGACATTAACAAGAAAGCATTTAATTTTTCCAGTGGTTTTATTCCTTCGGACAAAAATAAGCATACTTGCTTTAAATAATTCCTTCCGATCCCCTATGGCAACATAAAAAACAAAAACTGATTTTATTTTTATTTTTTTAATCATTTGCACTAATATATATTTGGGATCTAAATTACTTCCTGGATTTCCTCTTGGGCACAAATATTTCTACTTTCTTAATGTGATCTCATCTTGCATAAATCAAAGCAGAAGAGGAATATTTAATCCTGCTAAAACATGACATGGAGACTTACTAGCCATAAGAGGTGGCATTTAATTTGGGCTCACTCTGCATATGTAAATATTATTAGAAGGAAATCATTGAAATAGTTTTCATATTTATATGAAATTATTAGCTTGCCATTACAGAAACTTTCTAGTAAATTTTGTATTTTTGTATAAGGGAATTGCTGATTCAAGAATTCGAGCATTTCTTGTAAAACCAGATCAACATTAAGTTTTTCCTTTGATTGTCCTAATCAGTTTGAAAGCAACAGGTAGAACAGAACTTCAGAGAAATCAAAGCAGCTGTCACCTATGCCATAAAATACAAATATTTTCACTGTCAGCTGTCCTGAAGTCCAGTTCTACCAGAAGTTCTTGTAAGTTGTGCAGTTTCAAGGGGAAAATGTCAAAGATCAGAGCAAATTACGTGTCCAAAAGCCACTTTTTACCCATGCTCTGGGCACCAGGCTTGTGTAATTTGAGCATCTGCTTTGGAACCTCATTTTTGGAAACTCATGTTTTCTGATTTGGTGCAGTTAGGAGCTGGAAAAAAACCACCCAGCATGTTGAGATCAGAGATTTAATTCCGAGAGCTTTGTTCACAGCATCTGTGTGGGGGGCAGGAGTTCATGTGGGTTTGAAAATCAAAGCTTACAGGAAGAAATTGGAATGAAGCTTAGGGGGAATTTGTGTGAGCAGCAGCCGTGAGGAGAGCAGCTCTGCCCTAACAGGAGATTTCTCCCAGGCTGCCACTTCTGCAGAGGAATTCTCCTCTCCTGGCTCTCACAGCCACCTCCCCATGGAAATGAATTCACAGCCTTTCTCCAAGTCTTCCAGGCAGGTTCCACCTTGTGAGGACTCTGCTCAAACCCCAGGAGAAGGTTGATGTGCCAGGGTCTCTGTGTACACTAAAAACAGCCTCTCCCCATCTTCTCACTTTCTGCCTGTATGATAGATTCTGCATTTTCTTCTTTCTATTAATCTATTTCTTTAGATAATTACAAAATCCAAAATAATCCTGAATTTGATTTATTTTTTTGTTTTTTTAGGTGAGACATGTAGAAGCTTTATCAGTCTGACTCCAGCTTCTGATCGAGGTAGACATGTATATTTTTTGTCTGTAGTCAAAACTTTCCTGATCACACTTTCCAATATAAGTATTCTGCATTAAATAAAATTAATCCATTTCAAAAATGCTCGCTTTAATCATAAAGAGTATTTTTTCTTCTTTATTTAGTTTTCCAACTCCAAAATTAAGGTTATATGACTTATAATATCAATGCATGCCTTTCTGAAGACACACCACTAGAATATGAATGGCTTTTGAAATTTGAATATGGGTGCTGGAAGTCCAAATTTGTGTATTTTTGCCCTCTGTCTCCTCATACTTCCATATTTGCAGCCAGGAATTCTGTGGCAGTGTGTGAACATCCACCAGGAGGTTTGTGTGCTGAGGGGATTGAGGGAGCTCTGCTGTGCACCAAACCAGCCTTGGTGGAATCTGCATCCCTGTGCCTTACTCAGAGCTGTGAGGAGACGTTTCCATTCTCTTCTTTCAAAGAATATTCAATAATTCTTAATAAAGAAAAATGAATTCTTAATAAATAATTAGAATTCTAATTATGGAATATTTCCAATATTCTTATAAAACATTGCTGTGTGGAAACCCTGCCCAGAACAGGTTTGTGTTCTGCACATGGTGTGTGAGCCAAACTCAGGGTGCAGCAGGCTCAGCCTCCCCGAATTTCTCCCCCCTGGCTCTCACACACAGGGCTGATCCCTGTTCAGTGCATTTCTTACAAAGCCTCACTGGCCAAAAATGTTCAGATGCAAACTCTTACAGCTGGAGCAGCCAGAACTGTTGGGCAATGCAGCATCTGGAGTTCCTGATGAAAATCATAATTTTTTACAGAGATAGATTTTCTGGAGAAAAAAACCATGTCCAAGAACACCCACACATAACTTGGCCCAAGAATTTCATGTCTAAATGGCCCATGAATCAATTGTCCAAGCCAGAATTTGAGTTACACACCACACAAATGCTGCCTCCTGCCCTTGGTTGTGTCTGGTAATCAAGGATGTGTCCCAGCAGTGTTTCAATTTTTAAATTATGATTGTTTGTGCACATCTTCACGTGAAATCACTGCTTGAATCTACAATGTGTCTCAGGACACATTTGGTTTTTAAAAAGTTTGGGGAAGACCATTTGCCAGATCTTGCTACAGCAAATTTGGACACAAGGAGGCCTCCTGCTCCTGGCTGTGGGACATCAGCACGCTAAAGGTCAGACAGCAGGCTGAGAGACTTTAATGGGAGGATTAATTTCTTGCATAAGATGTAATTACCAGATCTCCAAAAAGAGGGGAATTAGCAGATTACTAGGGAAATGAATCTCAGCGAAACCTGGAG